TGGGGAGGGCAAGCGGGCACGCGGCCTCCAGCACGGGAAACTCTTGGAACACTTAGGGTCCCCTCTGTCCGCAGAGCAGTGGCCTTGCTGGCAGGAGTGGCTGGGACTGCTGGAAAGGGAGCTTGGAAGCAGTGGCCTGGAGTGGCCAGAGAGACGAGTGGGCTGTCTGGGGGCCGGTCACTAGGGGAATGCACGTGGCTGTCAGCCTGCCCGAGGGTGGGGCTGCAGCCCCTGTGCTGGGACCACCAGGCTGGGGCAGATGCCAGGACGGCACGCCACTCTGTTAGCCGCCCTTCCTGTCCAGAGCTTGGACAGAGGCCCTCCCCGCCCTCCCCAGCCCCCCCTCCGCACAGGAGGAGGCCTGCTTCTGACCTGGGTTTCTCCTTGGGTCTATGCAGTGAGCAGCCTTCTCCAGAGCTTCCCCAAAGGGGCCAGGGACCCAGGCTGGACACCAGGAGCCCAAGATGGGGCTGACCAGAGGCAAGGGGGCATCAGGGCTCTCTCTGGAGGCCTTAGTAGAGGCCTTTTCCTGCGAGGGGCTGCAGCCTATGCTGAGAAGTAGGGAGGTGCCCCCCCAGGCACAGGGGCCCAGCGCTGCCTCAGGCAGTTTGGGATGGAGAATTCTGGATGGGGAGCAACAGGTGAAAATGCAGTCTCGCACCCCAAGAGGCCTCTGTGTAGACACACTGTGCTCTGCATAGGCAGGGGCTGTAGTAGCCAGCACAGAGCCTGGCACCGAGTAGGTGTGATGAAAACAGATTCCCAGGGAGAGCAGGGGGCCTGGGTGCGTGAAAGAGGACTTTGGGGTTCGCCAACAGAGGATGGTGCGGCTGACCCACCAAAGCTCACTCCACCAGAGGAGCGGACACTTTACCAGGAGAGGCATCGACAGATCAGCTGGGAGGGGGAACACGCCAGAGGCGTAGACAGACCAGCTGGGAGAGGGGTCACAAGAGCTGGGGGACAGAGCAGATTTTGGGGAGTGGTGGTATGGAAAGGCTGCCTGTCAGGGCCTCCAGGTGTCCAAAGGTATCTTTAGTATGGGAACAAGACCATAGATAGGACAGAGGGAGTAAGATATAAAACGTTTATTGATGTACATTGTTTGTCTCTCATAAAACTTCCTCTGGCTACGCTGGGCCACTGTGCTTGTAGGTGGGCTGGGGTGGCCAGGTGGAGCCAGTGTCCACTTTCAGGTGGGGGCTGGAGCCCAGAAACTGTCTGGACGGTCTACAGGTGCCTGAGGACCAGGCAGGCAGCAGTGGGGACGCACCCTGTGCTCCGAGAGGCTGCCGGGGCTGGCTGGCACGGAATCAGAAAAGAGGGCCCTGCCCAAGCTGGCTGAAGGCCCCTCCCATCCCCAGCTGCTCGCCATGACTAGAAATGCACCCGTTTAAGTCACCATAGGATTCATCCTGGGGGCAGGGATGTCATTTGCAGAAAAACTGAGCTACAAGTCAGGTTGCCCAGAGCCCTCTCCCAGATAGCACCGTTTTGCTCGGGTCTGCCGCTAACACTGACTTGAGAGGATGGGATGGTGAGAACAGGTACCTCCGTGGCAGCAGGGAAGCGGGTGGCCCGATCGGTGGTGCTGCTGGCTGTGTCATTTTCAACGAGGGCTGATTTAAAGGGGCGCGAGGTGGACAGGGCTGGGTGACCTTTCTCCTCTCCTTCCCAGACCAGCCTGTGGTGAGGAGAGCCTCACCCCCTTGGGGACAACTTCTGTACAATGGGTCGCTGACGGAAGAGAGTGGCTGGGGGAGCCTTGCAGGACCACAGGGTCTGTTTGCAGGTGGATGCTTGGTCTCTTGGCCACCCACAGAGCCTCCAGCCCAGGAAAAAGGAGGCCAGAGGGCGGGAAGCAGACTGTTCTCCTTGCACTCGGGCCCCGGGGTGGCTGCCCGGTTCCTGTCCCCAGCAGAGGGTCTCTGGAGCTCCTGGCTGCTTCCAGCCCTGACCTCCTCTCCAGGTGCCTGCCTCTCAGGAGGCGTTCCCGGAGGGGCACTGCATCTCCATGGTGACCGTGTTGGGTGTGCCACCCCCAGCCTCCCCCAGTTCGGCGCCATCTCGCAGGGCCCGCTGGAAGACCACCCTGAGGGGCTCCCACAGCCTTTGCGACTTGTCCCTTCCAGCCAGGAAGTAGACGACGGGCTTGGCGCTGCTGTTGATACAAATACACAGGTCGGTGACGTACTCGGGGAAGGGGGCCGGGATCTGGAAGGCCCAGAAGAGGAACCAGTCGATGCCTAGGTAGATGGAGGACACCAGGAACACGGAGACCACGGCCAGGATGACGTGGTTGAGCTTGGCGGAGCGCTGGCGCCGCCGGGCCCGGCACTCCACATACACGATGAGCGCCAGGCAGGGGAGCACCATGAGCGGGCAGAAGACCAGGAAGAGCAGGATGCCCAGGAAGATGTCCATGTGCCTGCAGGCCGCCCCAGAGGCCTGGCGGCCCAGGAACACGCAGAAGTAGTTGTGGATGCCGGTGACCAGGAGTGACAGGGCCCAGAGCAGGGCGCACACCACGGCCGACAGGCGCTTGGGCCGCTGGCGCCAGTACCAGGTGGGAAAGACGACCGACAGGCAGCGCTCCGAGCTGATGGCCGGCAGAAGGCTCACGCCGGCGACAAACGTGCAGAGGCCCAGGATCCGGGACACGGCGCGGACGTAGTCAGCGAAGGTGCCCAGGAAGCCCCCGGTGTTCAGGATGGACAGCACGGCCTTGCTGAAGAGATAGCCCACGTCGGCGCCGGCCAGGTGCAGGAAGTAGATGGAGAACGGGCTCCTCTTGATGGAGAAGCCGAAAAACCAGAGCACCAGCCCGTTGCCCACCAGGCCGCACAGACACAGGAGCAGGAAGGTGTAGTTCATGACGGCCGGCGGCGGCAGCATGGTGATCTGCTCGATGGTCAGGAAGCCGCGGCTGTAGAGCTCCGGGCCGTCGCTCAAGCCAGGACACATCTGTGCAGCCGCAGGAGGGAGGGGGGGGGAAGGCACCTGGTGAGGCCACTGGGCCCCACTCCCCACCCGCACCTGCATCCAGGTGTGCTGGTCCTCCTTACAAACTTGCCGAGGGCTCTGGAGCAACTACTCGGCTCCAAGGAGAGCCGAAGACACCCCTGACCCCACATAGTGTCTCCTCTCTGTGTCCCTGGGTCTGGAGCTAGCAGCCTACAGGAGTGACAGTGAAAAGACTCCATCACTCACACTGGGCCGACTGGGGAAATGGGACTCTGTAGATGACGGCATTGCATCAAAGGGAAGATGGACTGTGGCCACGTTCAGGCACTTCCTTGACCTTAGAAGATACAGGCTGTCTGGGGGTACAGGAGCTTGGTGTCTGCAGTTTACTCTCAGATAGTTGTGGGAGAAAAAGTATATCAAGAGATACACAGGGCCGGCCAAGTGGCGCGTTGGTTAAGAGCTGGCTTGGGACGCCAGCTCTGAGCAGCAGGGCCNCGACAAGCTACAGTAAACTCAGGTCTGTTACTTGTGACCAAACATCCTGGCTGATACTGTATAGAAATGTGCCTATGAAACTAATCTGTAACCTCTAGTGGCATAAAGCAGAGGTGAGTGGTCTCCAGGCTGGGGCGGGGGCTGGGTGCCTTGGGTCCACCGGGAAGATTTTGTCGGGGAGGATGGAAATGTCCTTTCTTTGGGGGACAAAAACAGTCTGTACATTGACTTGGTGAGAACACAGTCTGCACATGTGTGTCTAAGGTCACTGAACTATACAGCGGATGGGCACGTTTATTGGGTGTAAATTAGACTGCAATTAAACTGATTACAAAGATGTTTCTAAAAATCTGCCTGAGTTAGGTAAGCCTTCTCCTGAGTTGCCAGGAGGCTTCGCGCTGGCATGTGTGTGACTCACTGGAGCAGTTTTCTGTGTGCGACTCACTGGAGCAGTTTCCATGAGGCTTGGTTTTGTGACCTCTGCCCTGTTGTTTCCTCCAAGCCCCTACTGGCTACTTTCCAGCCTCCACTGGCTCAAACTGTAGTATTTTGTGCTCGCACTCTCACTTGTCCCGATACGGGAAGGTCTCTGTGCTGCATGTGCCTAGTTTCTTGGCCTTGTTGCCAATGTCACCTGGGACCTGGGCTTCTCCCTGGGTACTCAGAGGGTGCGCCATGAATGCACCTCTCTCCGTCCGGCCTTCCAGAAGAAGCCCTTGGTTCCTGGGAAGGAGGGACGCCCTTGGCTGAGGGCTGTGATCAAGCTGTGCATTTGCCAAGAGATCTGGGGCTTTAAAAGTCTGGCCTACAATACAAAACCCGAGTTGTCTCAAAGCCACGGTGGCTGAGGATTCTGGAAAGCTGGGCAGATGCCGGTGAGGCATTCCCACTCCTCTCATTACGATGGAAGCTGGAGACAAGAAGAGGCATCTGCTTTCAGGCCATTTACCGCACCGTCTGTGGGGCACGTGTCCCGGTCCCGCCCCCAACTCCGTTTCAGAAGGCGACAGCCTGAAACGGTGCTTGCTGTGCCTTTGGTCTCGATCAAGTGTGGAATCCAACAAGGATGGTCGGGGGCGTCCTTGGGCTGCGATGGGCATGTCCTGTCTAGTCCGCACGCCACTCCGAACCCCAGCTCCCAGGGTTTTGCTGATGGGAATCACAAAGGTCAGAAGCCTGTGCTTCCAGGGAAGCGTGATGGCCACTGTGCCGGAGCCTACGGACGGTGCCGGGAGCTCCAGCCGGGGCTGTCTGCCTGGTGGGACTGCCCTTGGAGGAGGAGGAGCTCCATCTGTGGGCCCTGGCTCCACCACAGGCACGAACAGTTGGTACCGTGGAGCCCTGCTGTGCAGATCAAATGAGATTTGTATGTACGGGGAGCTCTTAGCACAGGGCCTACTGCGCTTAGTAGGTCCTCAATAAGTGGCAGTCACTGCGCTAATCACCAGTGCTTGGGATGGGCTGTTCCGGTGAATGTCCCTCCTTCTCTGGCCACCATGTTCCCTTCCCTCCACCCAGTGCTAGAGGAAACTGAGGCACAGCAAGACCGAGGTCCCACGGCTGGTACATGGTGGCCCCGCCTCCCCGAGACTTACTCTCGACTTTCCAGATTTGGCCCTGTTCATCCCTTGTGTCGTCTAAACAAGCAGGCTTCTCCACCTGCTCATTTTTGTAGAGACAGTGGTGCCGGGAAGTATGAAAAGGCGCAGAGCCCTGCCCTGCCCCGGGCCCAGCCCTGTCCCTCCTCCTCCTCCCCTGCATGTCCTGTGGGGGTAGACAGTCGGGCTTGGTAATCAGCAGAGCAGCTGGCAGGCGGACACGTGTCCGTTCTCTGTCCAGCTACCTAGAAGCTCCTTAGTAGGAGGGGCGGTCCCCACTACCGGAATCTCAACCGGGTTATTCTGTGGACCAGCAGGAGTCAGGGGAGAAAGGCCAGACCCCTTGCTCCAGACAGTTTCAGGGTGGAAATCTGTGATGCCCGGGGCCTCCCGCCTTTACACCCAGAAAGAAGGAGGCTTGGGGGGTGCTCTGGGGGCCCCAGGGGCGCCGCCTTGGGAGGGTGGAGGGCAGCACATGGCCCCACCCTGCAGCAGCAACCTGGGCTTTAATAATTAAATACCACAGGAGGGAGAAGGAGCTGGTGCGGGCCTGCGGCTTCTGCTCAGGCGGCATCTGTGCCGCCTCCCTCCATTAGGCAGGAGCGAGGTGATCCAGGGCGTGGGCAGGACGGGCAGGAATTCTCCCAGGACTGGGGGGTGGGGGGAGGGAAGACTCGCTGCCTCGCTAGGCTGTCGTGACGGGTGCGTGAGAAGGGTCCACCGGCCGGGAGAGGCCGATGCCTGCAGTTCACCCTCTCCTCCGCCCCTGCCCGCCCAGGCCTAGTGCCCACAAAGGGCAGATGCATGTTCGTACACAGGCCCAGCCCTTTCCCCACCCACCGGGCCTGGGCTCTGAGCCTCTACATAGAGGCCCCTTCAAACTCCTGGGGGTGGGGGGGAGCTCCCCACAAGGGCTCAGGGCTGGAGGCCTGGGGTGGGGTCTCCTGAGGAAGAGGTGAAGACTGAGGACTGGGGAGCCTGGCCCCCCCCATGGCCCCCTTGGCCCCCTTCAGGCCTGGGAGGCGCTTCCCTGGTGTGGAAAGCTGGCGGAAGCTGTTGGGTGAAGGGGTCCCGGCCCCACCTTCTCATGTGTGTCCTCAGGACCCCACCTGGTTTCTCTGAGTCCCCAGAAGTGTTGGAGTGGCGGCCTCCAACTCTGCTCTTCTGGAATTCTCTGAGTGGCGTGGGGAGGGGTGGGCGAGCGGGCACGCGGCCTCCAGCACGGGAAACTCTTGGAACACTTAGGGTCCCCTCTGTCCGCAGAGCAGTGGCCTTGCTGGCAGGAGTGGCTGGGA